AGGGCTTCTCCCCACCTGTCCTTGACCTGCACTGACGTCACGCAGCGCCCTCACCTCCTGCCAGTTTGGATCTGAAGTGGCCCCGAAGGACTGAATGTTAGGGGCTTGGAGCTGGGCCCCAGCACTGTTGGGAGGCGCAGCCTGGTGGCAGGAAGCGGGGCTGCTGCCCCTTTCTGTCTCCCTGTGCTTCCTGACTGCCGTGAGTGGGCAGGTCTCCACTCCCATATCTCCCCCTTGAGGTCCTGGGCTGCCATGGGCCAAAGCAGCCCAGCCTCTGAAACTAAGCCAAAGCCAACTGGTTCCCTTACTAAGCTGATCATCACAGGTGTTTGTTGCAGCAGCGGAAAGCTGACTTACACGCTCTTCAGCTCCGTTCCTCCCCTGTGTCACCCCCACCCCACAGCCTGGCCCGTATGTCCAACCCCTTGCACCAGAGCCACTCTTCTGGTGAAAGCCAGCTCTGGGCCCATCTGCCAGCCTTCTTGGGCCTGTTCTCCAGGAATCCTCTGGGGCACAGCTGGAGTAAATTCACACGACAGGCTCTCATGTTCTAGCTTCAGCAGGCCTGGGACACTGTCACACTTGCCTAGTGAGTTCTCTGCCACTGGCCACTGTGCCCCCTCCTGCAGTCCCAAGCTGCCCATAGCTGGCTCAGTCTTCACCTCTCTCCACCTCCTCCTCCTCCTCCTCCTGACCTCTGCACCTGCCGGCCTGTGTCTGGCTGGCTTCTGCATCTGGGATGCACAGTTCCCAATTTTCTTGGCCAGCTGCCACTCCTCTGGGTTGGGTTATAGGTCGCCCCTCTGGAAGGCGCTCTACCTGTCCCCCTTGTGCCCACTTAGGGCCCCTTCACGGTCTCACACCCTCTCCTCTCAACTGTTTGTAACACTCTTCTAGCAAGGACCCTGTTCCCTAAGCTCCTTGAGGACAGACCCATTGGGCTCCTAGGCACCCTCGACCCTGTGCCCCACAGGAGTGCTCTCCTCCTCTGTCCTGCGAGCAGCCCCAGCCCTCCAGCCCTCCCTTTCCTCCTCAGGCCAGGCTTCCCCCTTGGCTGAGGCTCCCCTCAGGCTATGCTCTTCACCATGCCTGTCTGCCCTGAGGGCCCCATGCTGGTCTGCGGGCACCCTTGTGCAGCCTCTCAGTTCTTTCTCATTACTTGGAAGGACAGAAGCCCATTGGGCTTGGGGTCTCTGGGTACTCAACCACTTACTCTTGGCAGACAGTGTAGAAAATTCTAGGCCAATGGAAATGCTACAGAGGCCCTTACTGGGTATAGGTCATAGTTTTCCTGTACAGCTGTCACAAATTACCATAAACTCAATAACTCAAAATGACACAAAATTTATTTTCATACACTTGTGGAGATCCGGGCTCAAGTCCAATTGTCAGCAGGGCTGACTGCTCCTGGAAGCTCCAGGGAGATTCAGGTGCCCTGCCTTTTCCTGCCACTAGAGGGCATATGAAAACCGTGGCTCAGTCACTAGTATTGTTCAGGTCTGTGCTTCTGTCCTCCTGTCTGTGACTCTGTCCTTCCTGCTGCCTTTTGATAATGATCCTTCTGATCTTATCGGTCCCCAGATGACTAGGATCACTCCTCTCTTGGAAGTTCATCAAGTCCTCATCACCCCATATAGAGCATTTCCAAGCTCTAGGACCAGGTCCTGGGCAGCTGTGGTCGTTGCTATTAAGCCTCCTACGGTAGTCCTTAGGGCATTAGAAAGAAGCGACAAGATGCCATGCTGGCTGCGTCACTGATGTTTTAGCTCCTCCAGAAGAGCTGCAGGATTCCTCTCCTGTGGGAGCAGGATGCTGGAGTGTGACTTCTTGGGGTGCATTGCTTACAAAGCTCCCAGATCTTGGTCCTGAAGGGGCGGCCCACAAAGACATAAATCACAGGGTTCACGCAGCTGTTGGTGAAGGCAAAGAAGTTGGCCAGCTGCAGGCCCAGGTCGGTGACCTCCTCCCAGAAGCAGCCCTGGATGGCATGCACGTGGAACAGAAACTCCAGGAAGGCGAAGAAGTGGTAGGGGGCCCAGCACACCAGGAAGGCAGCCACAAGTGTGGAGATCAGTGTCGCCGTCCTGCGACCCTTGGGGCCTCCACACCGGCTCCTGCTCACCTCTCCCCGTTCTCGCAGGGAGGCCAGGATGTGGTAGTTGAAGAAGAAGATGGCAGCCAGCGGGAGAAGGAACCCCAGGACATTTAACTCTACCACCCTCACAAAGTGCCAGCCCTCATGGGGGAAGAGCAGGATGCAGGCAGAGATGTTCAGATCGGGGAGCCTTTTGATGGATCGCAGCACGAATGTGGGGGTACTCAAGAGGCCCCCTGCCACCCAAATGAGCAGGCAGATGGTGTGGGCATGCCGCCGGCGCCGGCGCCCCCAACTGACCACGGGCTGTACCAACACCCTGTACCTGTCCTGGCTGATGGCCACCACCAGGAAGATGCTGATGAACAGATGCGCCTTGATGACCCCATTGATGCCACTGCAGAGGGCGGCTCCGAAGGGCCAGTTGAATCTGCTCCAGATGTTCTCTGCCCAGAAGGGCAGGCCCAAGACAAACATGAGGTCGGAGGCCGCCAGGTTGGCCAGGTAGATTTCTGCCACCTTCAGCCTCTTCCGGGGCAGCAGGAGGAACAGGACCAAGATGTTTCCCAAGAGGCCGAGGACACAGATGGTGATGGCGAACATGGGTAATGCTCTGTACAGCACTTCCCAGGCTTCGGGGACAGCATCACAGAATGTGGCGTTGGGATGGGAGCCCTGGCTCTGGTTGGACAACTGGAGCTCGAGGGCGGACTGGAATGCCATTCACGGTGACCTGCAGGGACAAGTGTGCAGGTTAACACAGGTGGTGGAAGTCTTTGTCCAGCCTATTTTGGCCAATAAAGTTTTATTGGCACACAGCCACCCCCATCAGCTACACACCGCCTAGGGCTATTTGCATGCTGCTCTGACTGTACGTACCATCTGCTCTCCAGGGCAGTGACGGTGAACCTTTTAGAGCTTGCAGTGATAATGAGCAGCCAGCTGTGGCACACAGGCCATAGGTTTGCCGCCACTGCTCTGGAGGCAGCGTTCGCTGGCCTCTTGTTTAAGGAAGGGGCCAGAGCTTCGAAAGCTGAGTTCAAGCGCAGGTGCATCACTTGGTGCGGGCTATCCTGGCCCGCTGTGTATTCCTTTCCCTTGTAAGTTGGCGCTCATTGTATCCCCGTGAGGAATTGCCACTAGGGGTGCCCGCAGTGTCCATGGCTGCTTAGCATGGGGCCTGGCTGGACAGGAAGTGCTCAACAGAAGGTGGCAAATAGTCTCATTAACGATCATGTTATCATTGTCGTTCGAGTTCAAGAAACATTTAAGGACACCTACTCCGTGCCAGCATGTCACACGACAGCACACAGGACGGCAGCCTTCACTCATAGTGATCAGTGTCCTGGTGGGGAACAGACACAGAGATGTGGCTGTGACCAGCCAAGAGAGCTGCCACGGGGGCTGTGCCAGCAGGTGCTGGGGGCAGAGGCTGGTGGGGGGCCTCCAGAGCAAGCGAATTCCTTCGCTCAGCTTGAAACCCTTGAGCCAGAGAACAACAGCGAGCCCTCAGGAAGTGGTGTGCGCAGCAGCGCGTTGTGCTGTGTGCTCGCGTGCCTGCGTCTCCTCCTTTAATCTTCCTGGCAGCCCAGGAGGTGGGGGCTCTCGTTTCCTCTGAGCAGCCCCCACAGGGGCACCGAGATGCTCATCCCTGGTCCGAGCTCCCACAGCTGCTCCGTTGCAGATCCCAGGACACAGATGTCTGCTGGTTCTGCTCACGGAAGCCAGGCTGAGGGAGGTCCCCCAAATGTCTGAGGGTCCTGGCTGGTGGGTGACCCTTGGTCTGCACTGATCCCAGGTATTCTGGCTACACAGTGACCCATGTCTTGCTCAGAGCCACCAGTTTCCATGTAGAGGGATGGGGCAGGAAGAGGCCCCACCCCTCCCTGTGGGCCACCAGGCCTCCCAGCCGGGAAGTCTCTGAGGGACAGACAGGACTGTGGGCTGGTGGCTGCCAGCAGACAGGGCCACAGCCAACCCAGGAGATCCAGGCATCAGGCGGGGGCTACTGATGTACAATTAGATCACCAGGTCTGGGGTTGAGGACAAGCTCTTGGGGGTGTGATCCATCACACAAGTGACATCTCAGGCCCAAAGTGGGCCCAGGCCACCAGGGGAGAGGACAGCCAGGGAGGATGATTAGCTGCTGTGGGGCAGGAAACACGGGGACCACCAGGCAGTGGTGGCTGCGTGGTTCCGACCCTGAGCCCAGCAGGGTTCTGCGTGCTCTCCTGGTGGTGCCCACAAGCCTACAACTCTTCTTTCATCGTCCAGCAGAGCTTTGTGAAAACTCCTCCCACAATGACAGACTAAAAAGCAAATATTGGATGAAAGCTTCTGGTTTTCAAAGAAGTTAATGCTAAATGTATGATGGGCATAGCGCCTTCGAGCCCCAGTCCCTTGAGCACTGCAGGGAGGTGGGGCTGGCCCCATATCGGGCCCTAAGGTGTACATGTCATCCCATTTTTTTTTTTTTTTAAGTATTTGGTACAGGGTCTCACTGTGCAGCTTGGACTCGTAGTGATCCTCCTGCATCAGCCTCCTCAGAGCTAGGATTACAGGAGTGTGCCACCACGCCCAGTCTCTGCGGCCAGCTCAGTGTGCCCTGGGAGTGGGGCCGGCTTGGCATATGGTGCCAGGGATTGAACCCTGGTCCCTCGCTCCCCTAAACAGGCACTTAGTCACTGAGCTATCTAACTGGCTCTTTCCTTATCCCATTCCTGGCATGCCCAAATGGGGCTTCACGTCATCACACAGTACTTAGGAGGAGGAGGTGGGCTTTGGAGTCAGAGAGAAAAAAGACAAGGCCACTGTGCTGGAGACGAGCGTGCAGCCATAGCTGAGGGTGCTGGAGGCCTCTGGAAGCAGGGCAGGGCTGGGAGCAGTATCCTGGGAGCCTTCAGAAGGAACCTGCCCTGGTGACACCTTGGCTTTAACCTCGGCCCCTCGCACTGCACTGTCACATGCACTGAAGGTGTGCTAATTCCCTGCAGCAGCTGGGGACACTGGCATCTGCCCCAGGAACTCAGAGACTTCAGCTCCACCCCAGCTGTGCCACCAAGCACTGCCCCAGCCCCATCTGCAGGGCCTGAGAGTGGCCTTGACCCATGTGACAGGCTTGTCGTCACTAGCTGCTGCCCATCACAGTAAAGCTAGCCAGCGCTGGGCATCACTTTCGCCCCTTCTAGCCTCAGCACTGGCATGTACTGGACACAGCGGGAGCTCTAACCACAGTGACCCACATTATTGGTAATCGCATCGGGTTCTCTGAAAAGTCAGAGGGGACAGTGGGCACATGTCCTAGAGAGGAAGACTCCGTCATCTCTGTGTTCTGTTTTCTGCGCTCTGCACATTTCATCCCCCGCATTGCTGCTTAGGGAAGAGCATGCTGTTCTACAACACATTCGCCCTCTGCAAATGAACTCCAGTATCCACAGGGATGAGGAGGACTTTGGAAATAGAGACGCAGGGGCAAGAAAGGCAGCCCAGCCACGAGAAAAGGTGGCGCTTTCCAACCGGACCTAATGTGAGCAGTTACTGGCGTAGGAAACCTTGTGAGCCATTCCAGAGAGACGAGGCTGGTCCTTGTAAATGAGAACTTGTAGCCTGTCACGGTGAGCATCCACTGAAGGCCGGTGATTTAGTTCAGCAGGTTGATGGGGCTGTGACAGCTATGCCTTCCCCAGCCCTTGCAAGCACCCCCGTCCCCATCCTAAAAATCAATTTAAGCCCACACTAGGCAGGAGTACAATCTCTTACACTCCAAGTACAAGGATCCTTGTTCAGTCTGTGTACTTATAGAACACATGCTCAGCCGATATAGAGGCATAAAAGGAAGCCTTATACTCATTCTTCACTAACAGACACGATCTCCTTTTCTATTCCACTTTCTGGAGGGGAAGGGCAGTCATGTACTTACTCAGAAAGAAACTGGAAGAGCTCACGGCTTCCGCTGGGTTTGGGACAGTGAGAGCTGTCTCTCTGGCTTTCTGTTCTGGCTGCTCTGGGGACACGCAGTGGCCTTAAATAAAACCACCTCCACTCTGGGAGGTCATGGGGCTGCCCAGAAGGAAGACAAAGGCATTCCAAGGGGCCCCGCCCCGCCTCTGCCTTGGTGATTTGGGGGCAGGCAGAGGTGAGTCGGTGGCGCCTCTCCCTGTGTAACCTCTGGGAGCCTGCGATGCGGCCTCCTGGCAGGCCCTGAGATTGGCAGGCAGGCTCTGAGCCCGTTTTGGCTTCCTGACTCCAGGGCACCCACGAAGCTTCAGCCTGCCCTGAGCATGACGTCCCACTCAGTCGGCCCCTGACGTCTGAGGATCTGGAGGCCGCGTGTGCGGAGCTAGGCTTCACACCAC